CGAGCCTGCATAGAGCAAGCAATGTACCAACAACCCGGGCGTCCGTCAAACAAATGTAACATGATCGAGGGGTGCCCGCGCAAGATCCAGATTCAGCCGCGAAGTGCAGCTTGCATTGTTTTGTTGACATGGATGGTGGCCCTGCGCGCAGCGGGCCCTATGCTGGCACCCTCGCCGTCCCTGTCAAACAACACATGCAAAATGCTCGCAGGGGTCCAGATCATGAACCAATATGTTGCTGCCGAATGCGCTGAATATTGCTTTTGTGATGAGAATAGCGGACCGGGGAGCGCATGGTCGCAGGTTTGTCGCCCGTCGGGTGGGGGAGGGAGTGCAGATCCACAAGGAGCAGTGACAGATTAGGGTCGGTTCGAACATATTAATAGTGCCGATGGTAGATGAGAGTCGGGTAGAGTAATGTAGAGTACAGCCTACCAAGTTCAATCCAGTCTACTCCAGTCCAATCGACAGCAACCCAATCCAGTCCATGTCGCTTCTTTCTTCTGAATACTTGGAATGTGCGTTTTTGATACGGACAGTGGTGGTGGGGGGGTGGACATATTGCCCAATGTGGCGCACCTGGTGCTCGTGGCGCACCTGGCATGTGCGGCGCACCTGGCATGTGCGGCGCACCTCGCAGGAGTCGCGCACCTGGCGAGCATCTGCACTGGTTCCCGATAGTTGCCGATGGCGGCCACTGCCCATGCTGAGACTCGGGTTTTCAATATGTAGCGGGAGGGCGGGTGGGAGTGAGCGAGACAACGTGCGGCGTTCTCGCTGGGAACTCGACCACTGTTCGTTATGAATGTGCATCCCCGCCCCCGCCCGACCGGCGACACCCCCTCCGGGACCATGCGCCACCCCCCGCCGCTCCTGGCAAAGAGCAGTGCAGAGCGCACAGTGCTGCAACAGCTGGACCGTGCGCAGGCTCGCAGTGAACCTGTGTTGGTCGGCAGCGAGGCAGGACTGCTGCACGCTTCGTGGCCCCATAGGGAGCTCCACCTGAGGTCTCAGTGGCGCAGCCCGCATGGCGGCGCCGCCCGATTTTGGTACACCCCCCACACTCGTTGTGGCACCATAGGGAGCTCCATCTAAGGCCCCAGTGGCGCAGCCCGCATGGCGGCGCCGCTCCATTTTGGCACACCCCTCACACGTTTCGTGGCCCCATAGGGAGCTCCACCTGAAGTCCCAATGGCGCAGCCCGCATGGCGGCGCCGCCCCATCTTGGCGAATTGCCCAGCGTGCAGGAGGGGAGACTGGGACAGGCAGAAGGGGGGCCGCGGATAACGAGAGAGGAAGGAGGCACTCGGAGGGGGAAGACTGCCATCCTGAGTGCGCTGGCGCGGCGAGGCGCCCAGTGAACACATCACGCTCGTTTTCGACGGGGGCGGCGAGGGTGCCCTCCGCTCTGTAGAGGCCCGCCACCCCTGTCAAAACACCATGCAGTATACACTTCGCGGCAGAATCTGGATCATGCGTGGGCGCCCTTATTGATCGACTTGCGCTGGCTTTCGCCGAAGACAGCGGCGGTGTCCTCAGCGTGTCCGCTCTGCGCAGACCCACCGTCCTCGCCAATACACGGTGCAGAGCTCACCGTCCGGCAAAAGCCAGTTCAGGCGCGGCCGCCCCCCGGTCATTCTGCATCGGTGTGCGACAGAAGGGGCGGCGAGGGGGTGCCCATCTTGGCTGCTCCGTGCAGGCTCGCGGTCCCTGACGAAAGCCATAGAACGTAAACTTTGCGGCAAAATCTGGAGCATGCGTGCGAGCCCCGCGATCACGTTGCATAGTCTTTTGACAGGAACGGCAGGGGTGCACTCATGTGTCTGCTCTGTGCTTCAGACTGGACTCTTGAACTCAGCGAGATCGGGACCCCATTGCTCGGATGCTGCCTATGTGTTGGGAGGGCGGGTGGGAGTGAGCGACACGGCTTGCGGCTTGGGGTCAGCGACCCCCCCTTCACTCCCTCTTCCCACTGGGTCTGGACGGGGGGATGGCAACCACCGGTCAGAGAACCCAAGGTAGCCACAGATGGCTCGAAGAGGGCTCTCGATAGTCCAAGATAGTAGCCAAGATAGTGCGAGGTCGCTCAAGACTGGTTCCAACATACTCCAAGGAGGTCCCAAGACCGCTCCGAATGGCTTGGGAGCTTCCTCAGGACATCCCCAAGGTGACAACATCCGTACAACACCTATGGGAAATCCGCCGACCCTGTCGGCGTGTGTGAGGGGCTTTTCCGTTCGAGCCGTCATCTCCGTCATTCTTTGTACTCGTCGTCTCTGTCCTTCCCTTTCCCTGGGAGACCTCTTCCCCTGGGCTCCAGCCAAGCCGACCTTGAGCAACCTCGTAATTGAGTCGAAGGGAAGCCCCTTCCCTTTGATCCCTCCCCCGCCGGGAGGGGGGGGGGGGTAGCGACCCCCCCCCCGGGTCAGATACGACGCCCCCCCCTGGGACTCCTCTTCCCCTGGGCTCCAGCCAAGCCGACCTTGAGCAACCTCGTAATTGAGTCGAAGGGAAGCCCCTTCCCTTTGATCCCTCCCCCGCCGGGAGGGGGGGGGGGTAGCGACCCCCCCCCCGGGTCAGATACGACGCCCCCCCCTGGGACTCCTCTTCCCCTGGGCTCCAGCCAAGCCGACCTTGAGCAACCTCGTAATTGAGTCGAAGGGAAGCCCCTTCCCTTTGATCCCTCCCCCGCCGGGAGGGGGGGGGGGTAGCGACCCCCCCCCCCCGGGTCAGATACGACGCCCCCCCCTGGGACTCCTCTTCCCCTGGGCTCCAGCCAAGCCGACCTTGAGCAACCTCGTAATTGAGTCGAAGGGAAGCCCCTTCCCTTTGATCCCTCCCCCGCCGGGAGGGGGGGGGGGTAGCGACCCCCCCCCCGGGTCAGATACGACGCCCCCCCCTGGGACTCCTCTTCCCCTGGGCTCCAGCCAAGCCGACCTTGAGCAACCTCGTAATTGAGTCGAAGGGAAGCCCCTTCCCTTTGATCCCTCCCCCGCCGGGAGGGGGGGGGGGGTAGCGACCCCCCCCCCGGGTCAGATACGACGCCCCCCCCTGGGACTCCTCTTCCCCTGGGCTCCAGCCAAGCCGACCTTGAGCAACCTCGTAATTGAGTCGAAGGGAAGCCCCTTCCCTTTGATCCCTCCCCCGCCGGGAGGGGGGGGGGGGTAGCGACCCCCCCCCCGGGTCAGATACGACGCCCCCCCCTGGGACTCCTCTTCCCCTGGGCTCCAGCCAAGCCGACCTTGAGCAACCTCGTAATTGAGTCGAAGGGAAGCCCCTTCCCTTTCATTCCTCCCCCGCCGGGAGGGGGGGGGGGTAGCGGGGGGGGTAGCGACCCCCCCCCGAGTCAGATACGACGCCCCCCCCCCGTACCGACCTTGAGCAACGTCGTCATTGAGTCGAAGGGAAGCCCCTTCCCTTTCCCTTCCCCGACGGGGGGGGGAGAGGAGGTCCCGGGGGGGGTCCCGGGGGAGTCCCGGGTCAGATACGACACCTCCCTCCCCCACCTTCTCGTCCTTCTCCCCGTTCCCCCAAACCATCCCACAGCCCGTGCCTCTTGCTGCGCATTGCGAACAGGGTCGGCGGCACCGGCCGTCAGGCCTTCGCAATCAAATACATTTTCTTCCTGCTGGCATCCCGATCCCTCAAAATGGCTCCACGTAGGCCTACGAGGGCCCAAGACCGCTCCAAGAACGCCCAAGAGCCCCCCGAGAGGGTGCCAAGAGGCGGCTTTTGCGGTTCCAGAGAGAGGGGCTGTAATGAATGACGCTCCCCTCATTTGATCGATGTCCTCCAAGATTGTCCTAAGATGCTTCCAAGGCCCCCAAGAGGGCCCCAAGAGGCCCCTGAGAGCTCTCCGCCCTCCAAGAGGTCCAGAGACGCACCAAGAGGCCCCAAAAAGTTAAGAAGGCACCCGGAGCCCACGAGAAGACATCCCGAGCGACTCCGAGAGGCGTCCAAAAAGAAGTCTCTAGTTTTATGAGGCTTCCCGAGGCATCGAAATGATGCGACGCTCCCCACATCAGGCCAGCTCCGCTGGGCATCGTTCCTGGATGGGCTTGTGGGGCTACGCGCAACGTGAAACATGAGGACATGGCCTCCAGCCCAAACGAACACACCCAATCCACTTTCACGCTCCATACTCCCAGGCGCTGTCGTGACCCGCTCACCCGACCGACCCGCGGGGTGCATCTCGGAGCTTCGCGGAGAGCGCGACCTCGGCCGCAGGAGCGAGCCCCGGCCGCGGTCAGGTAGAATGTGGAGGCGCTCGCGGGGGCGCGGGTCGGCAGGCTGGCGGCGGGCAACGGGGGGTAGGGGGAGGGGGGAAGGCTTCTTAGAAGCACCCTGCTTCTTGCAAGGCCTCGGCCTGACGTCTGCAGAGAAGGCCCGCGCCTTCTAAGAAGCAGGAGCGCTTCTAATGAAGCCTTCCCCCCTCCCCTTATACCCCCCTCTGCGCGTTGCCGAGCAGGGGCATCTCACGGCGGTGCAGCGCCGCCGGCCCCGGAGTGAAAGTCAGCCCGACGAGCCAGAAGCGAACCCGTCCAGAGACGGGCCCTGCACGTCGCGGAGAGGCGCGGCGACAGGTCGGGGGATGCGCTGCCCTCGACCACATTACGCGGCGCCCTATATCCATGGATCGAATCCCACTGCGCGGCACGCAACTTCTCTGAAATAGAAGTGCGCAAGAAACAGCCCGGCAGCCTGTGGGTCTCGTGGCGGCGTCAAAGGCCGCAGAGTACGGGGTGGCAGCCACGCAGGAGGAAGAAAAAGGAATAGGAGGAGGATGATGAGAAAACATATCATGCGGCGATCCCGCATGCTGCCACTACATCGGCTGGTCTCGCCGAAGCAGGAAGCGGATCACCCCTTTGGCCTCCGGGGGGGGGGGCAGGGCCAACCCAGCAGTGCACAAGCGGTGCGCACAGACGCGGAAGTTCAGACAGTGCAGATGCGGGATGAGAAAGAAGACGGGCCAATCGAATGCTACTGGAGCACGCTGCTCACGATGGGAGCGCAGCTGTTTGCACGAAACCAGTGAGCCTCCCCCGCTGGCCAGGACACACCAGTGGGAGGAAGCGTACCTGCAGCCGCTGCTGCTGCGCCTCCTCCTCCGCGAGCCTCAAGCACCTCTGGAGCGCGTCGACGATGCCGACGAGCGTCCGCCTCTCGAGGAGCGGATACACCGAGATGCTTACCTTGGGGGTAGGAGCAGGAGGAGGGGGAGGAGGAGGGGGAGGAGGAGGAGGAGGAGGAGGAGGAGGAGGAGGAGGAGGAGGAAGAGGAGGAGGAGAAGGAAGAGGAGGAGGAGGAGGAAGAGGAGGAGGAGGAGGAGGAGGAAGAAGAGGAGGATGGGCCCCGAGCAAGTGCGCCTAAAATCAAGCCTCTGGCCCCTCCTGGAGTCGAGGCGAAGCAGCTTCTGGAGTCGCGCCCAGCCCTGGCGGCGACGGGGCGCCTTTCCTCCCCCCCTGCCTGCCGGACGGAGCCAGCGCTAGAGCGCCTGGGCCTCGGCGGGCGCCAGTCCCGAAGGCTCCCCATCGGAAGTTGACGAGCTAGAGGAGGGCGCGGAAGGCGCGAGAGGAAGCACGCCTCTCGCGCAAGGATGGTTGAGAGGACCCCGACCCGTCGGCCCGTCTACCAAAGGGGAAGCATCATCGCCTTCAACAGGCCGGTGCGGTGCTTGGCCAACGTGACGCACGACAGCTTCACGCTGAAGGATTGGCCAACGTGACGCACGACAATTTCCGCGGCCGCCCTGACATGATGGGCCGATGCTCCACCACCACTACCACAGGTACTCCGGATCTCATAACAATGTGGGGGTCGGGGGTCTGCTTTTGGGGGGGTCCCACAGGCTTCGTCAAGCACACTTGTGGGGGAGCCTCGATGTTGGACCTTTTGTTGCCTGTCTTGGGGGGGGGGGTCCCAGACCGGCCGTCAAACACTTTTTTGACCCCCCCCCACTATTATGAGATTTGGAGTAGGATGGTGGAGAAGGGAGGATGTGGATGTCCACCTCCTCCTCCTCCTCCTGCCTATGGTAGTGGTGGAGGAAAACTGGCCAACCGTGACAGGCTCCCCTCGTGCACGCGGGCTCGCCTCCGCCCGCCGCCCGCCTCTGGGCGACGGGGGCGGCGCGGAGCCCAGCCGCCAAGTCCGAGTCGACCTGCTCGCAGATCCCGGGGAGGAACGCATCCCAAGAAAACCCTGCGGGGGACGCGCCCCGGAAACGGCAGGTCCGTTTTTCATCGTGTCCGACAATGATTTTGTCATGTATATATATATATATATATATATATATATATATATATATATATATATATATAAGCGGTTAGAGAAAACGGCGACCGGAAACAACAGCTAAAAAGGCTCTGGGATCGGAGCTGGAGCCGGAACCGGAAAAAAAAACGACGGCACCCGCGCACAAAAAACGGCGGCAGAACTGGCAACAGAAACGGCACTACGGAGCTGGTTCCAAAAACGGGCCCGTCGCTTCCGGGGCCCGCTAAAGTCAGAGGACAGATCCTGGCCCAAGGTGCCCCCCGCTCTCCGCGCCAGCCTGGATCCCCCGAGGCCACCCGGGCCCCACGGGGTGTGCTCGGGAGGCGGGAGGCCCCCCGAGCACACCCCGCGGAAGAGAGGCGGGGCCCGCGGGTGTCGGGCCTCCCCGCCTCCAGCGTGGTCCCGGCGCTGTCCTTCGTGGGCACGTGGGAGACAACGCGCAGCTGCCCGCCTCAAAGCGGTCCCGTGTCAGCGGCGCCCCCAAAGCTGCCGGTGGAACTTCGCGGAGCTCCTGGCAGAGGCCAGGGGCCGCACGGATCCTCCTGCCGCAGGGACGGGTGCTGTCTCAGGGACAGCACGCCGCGCAGCTCTGGCGAGTCCTCTCTGAGGCCACGCGCGTCGTCCGCCTCCACGGCTCCACGGCCACGTCGCCGACGCTACGGAGAACGGACTGGCGGCGGCTGGTTCGTTGCGCGGCGGATAAGCCTGTGGCTCTGGTCGCCTCAGCTGTAGCAACAGTCACCTCGATCACGACCGAGCGCACCACGAGGACAAGAGCAGCTGTGGAGAGCTGCGCTGCCTCCCTGGAATGCCGTGCAGAAGAGCATTGGCCCGATCCTTCCCTCCCCGACGACGAAGAGCGAGGCAAGCCCAGACGCAGATGTAGAGCATCCATGCCGCATTCAATCGTGGCTTCAAGTGGACAAGACTGGATCCCTGACCGACGACCCAAGCGCCGATTGCATAATCGAAGACTGCATCTGCAGAAGTGGCGGCTGGACACAGCGTGACGCTAAGACCAGCCGTCAGCACTAGATATATGCAGTCGGCGGATCATCATGTAACTATGGAGGGTGCCATACACGTAATTGTGACCACTTTGGTTTGGGCGAGTGAGCTGCAGATCTGCGCGAACGTCGTAAGCAGAATGCCCCCAGACCACAAAGACGCAATGACGACCACGTTTGCATGATGCACACAGACGACAGACAGGAGTTTGAACCGGGTCACCTTTCCCCTCTGGACCTCCTTCGCCGCCTGCTGCGCAAAGAGATCGTCGTCAACGCCAGGCTCTTGGTTCCTGCGAGCACGCCTCAATGGCACCGCCAGGCCATGCAGCAACCTCTGCGGCAGCCCGCTATGCGAGACGCCTGCCGCTTGCGGGGCCCGCCAGCAGCCAGACGCAATCCGCGCCGAGGAGGAGGAGGAGGAGGAAGAGGAAGAGGAGGAGGAGGAGGATGAGGGGGGGCATGAGAAGGAGGAGGAGGAGGAGGAGGAGAAGCAGGTGGAGGAGGAGGCGGAGGAAGAGGAATGTGGGAGGAGGAGGGTGCTCGCTGGCTTCTACAGGAGAAAAGGGCTCCGTGCTTGGCTGCAGGGGCGCAGGGGGGGAGCAGCGCCTGCCGAGCGCCCCTCTGGGGCCGTGGAGCACGCGCCGGCGTGTGAACGCTCCGCTGCAGCCCTGCTTCGAGCCCACCTGGCCTGAGCCAACACTGCCGCGGAGAGTAAGAGTATCGGGGATGGACAGACCTCCCCGTAGTAAAACGTGGCTCAGTGAAAACGGCCTCGGGCCCAAACCTGGCGGGCGCAAGCTTGGAAAATGATGGCCGCGGCGCCATCTCGAGAACCGAAAACGGACAATTCACTAATCGACGTGTCAAGGTAGGGGTTCTGTCCACCCCCGACAGTAGGGGGCCCGACCACCAGAAACCATCCACAAGAAACCAACCCTGACACCCCAGAACGTCCAATGATTGTTGGTGGGCACGTCGCGCTGTCCATAGCGAAACCATGGAAACTTCAGAAACCCAGGACACCCTGGAGGTAAGCAGGGTGTTTCTTGGCATGGGTCTCAATTGTAAGACGAGAGTCGAGCGATCGAAGCTACCTGTTCGCACCTGGTGTTTTCCATACTTTGGGGGGGGGGGGTGTTGCAGTCTGTTGCAGTCTGTTGCAGTCAGTATGTTGCAGTCTGTTGCAGTCAGTGTGTTGCAGTCTGTTGCAGTCAGTCTGTTGCAGTCTGTTGCAGTCAGTGTGTTTCAGTGTGCTGCAGTCTGTTGCAGTCAGTCTGTTGCAGTCTGTTGCAGTCTGTGTTGCAGTCTGTTGCAGTCTGTGTTGCAGTCTGTTGCAGTCTGTTGCAACCAGTCGGTTGCAGTATGCTGCAGTGTGTTGCAGTCTGCTGCAGCCAGTTGTGGTCATCCACTGGATGCGATGTTGCGAGTTGTTGCAGGCCGACGTGATAATCCTGGGGGTCGGTGTTGCGATGTGCTGCAGTCGGTCGCAGTGATGTGCGACCCTTCATGGGTGCGATGGTGTAGTTATTTGCTGTCAGTTATGCCCCCCCCAGGGGTCGGTGTTGCGATGTGTTGCAATCTGTTGCAGTATGTTGCGCCCCTGCCGTGGGTGTGGTGTTGCGTGGTGTCGCAGTCAGTTGCGACGCCCCTGGGGGTCGATGTTGCGATGCGTTGCAGTATGTTGCAGCTCGTCAGGTGATTGATGATACAGTATATTGCCGTATGGTGCATTCCTCCAGGGGGTCGGTGTTACAGTATGCTGCAGGCCATGCATCGCGGAATGGGCCCGGCGGCGGGGCCGAAACCAAGTGCGTGCAGCAGATGTCGTTACCCCCCGTTTCCCTAGCGATCCCCCCTGTCGTACGTTCCGAAAGTGGGGCATGTCGGAAACGGGAAACTGGCGTTACAGCTGGGCAGCCTTCAAGGCTCATAAGGGAAAGTAGAAAGGGTCCTCTGGTCCCATGAGCCTTTTGAATGTACTTTTGAGTGTACTTTTGGGCGCATCGCCCGTGGGCTCGCCGGAATGGCCGCGCGGAGACGCCCGCGCCCGACGCGTCCGAGGGCCCGGGCCATCGGCCCCCGGTTCTGCTTTTGAGCCCCTTCCCCCCCCCATTCGAAAACACAATTTCCCGATGGCATTTTTGAGAAATGCGCTCAAAAGTACGATCCGCCCGTGACTTTCCCAAATTATACTTTTTAGTGGACCCCTTCGAAAGAGCCGCGCCGTACTTTTGAGCGAGCCCCCCCCCCCGGGGACGCGGGGAAATGGGGCGCGGGGGGGGAGCGAACGCGGGGGGGGCAGAGACGTGCGCGCATGCGCGGCAGCCACCCGGCCCGTCCCGCGGCGACCCTCGGCCGCTCGTGTTTCAGTACTTTCTAAAGGACCCATGCACGCATAGGATGCTTTGTATTTTTCCCGAAGAGCTGTGAACGCGGCGCGTAAGAACAACATTCTTGGCCGGAGTTCCATCGACCGGTCGACCGACGACCGACGACCGACGGCCGACGACCGACGACCAACCGACCGACCGACGACCGACGACCGACGACCGACAACCGACAACCGACGACCGACGACCGACGACCGACAACCGAGCAAGGACAACCGACGACCGACGACATGCGACGGACAACCGACGACCGACAACCGACCGGCGACCGACCGACGCACGACGACCGACGACCGACAACCGAACGACCGGCGACCGACCGACCGATCGACCGACGAGTGACGACCGACGAACATGTAACAACCGACCGACGACGACCGACGACCGACGACCGACGACCAAAGACCGAGCGACGACGACCGACGACATACGACGGGCGACGGACGACCGACGACCGCCGACCGACGACCGACGAACGACGACCGAGGACCGAGGACCGAGGACCGAGAGCGGACGACCGACGACCGACGACCGACGACACCGACGCCCGCCGACGGAACAACCGACGACCGACGACTTTGACGACCGACGACCGACGAGCGACCGATCGCCCGACGACCGACGACCGAGGACGGACGACCGACGACCGACCGACCGATCGCCCCGCGACCGATCGACCACACAGCGGGCACGGAGCGACCGACCGACCGGCGACGACGACCGACGACCACCGACGACCGACAACGAACCCAACCGACGACGACGACCGACCGACGGACCGACCGACCACGGAGGGGGGCGCAAGTAAAATTCTACAAGACAGGGGCGCCCCTAAAAGTCTAGAAACCAGGGGCAAGCCGGGGCGGAGCTCTGGAAGACGGGGCGGCGCCGGTAAAGTTCCAGGAGGGCCGAGAACGGGGCGTGGGGGGCGTGCACAATCCCATGGGAACCAGTATCGGCCCCCCCCCCGCCATCCTCTGCAACAAAAAACTATGCGCGCACACTCGTTTATCAAAAATCAGAAGTTTTCCCGAATCCCTTGCAAAAAATTGACGAAGTGCACACGCGCGCGTCGTCGCGCGCGCCTGCCGAAATCCTTCAAAAACCTTCGGTGCGGAAAGGATTTCGCAATCGAGTTTCCAAAAAAAAAAAACATACACAAACACACAGGGTTTTGCAACACTGATTTGCTAAAAAAGCTTACGCGCGAGCCCTCACGAAATCTTAAGAGAACTATAGGCTTTTCAATATTTTCACAATATGCTACCAAATGGGCTTCGCGCGCGCTCATGTCGAAATCTGTCGAACGCCCTTGCGCGTGTGCCGTCGCGAGAATCCTCTGCAAAAAACGCGACGAAGTGCAGACGCGCGCGTCGTCGCGCGCGTATGCCGAAATCTTTCAAAACCCATCGGTTTTGGAAGGATTTCAAAATCGTGTGTCCAAAAAAACCTACAAAAAACAAGGTTTCGCAACACGGATTTTCAACAAAAACGAGCGCGCGCGCTCTTGCGTCGTCGTCGTTGCCGCCGTCGTCGTCGTCGCCGTCGTCGGCGTCGTTGACGTCGTCGCCGTCGCCGGTGTCGTCGTTGTCGTCGACGTCAGCGTCGTCATCGTCGTCGTCGTCGGCGTCGTCGTCGGCGTCGTCGTCGTCGGTGTCGTCGTCGTCGTTGTCGGCGTCGTCGCAGTCGTTGGAGACGTCGTCGGTGTCGTCTTAGTCGTTGTCGGCGGCGTCGTCGTCGTCGTTGTCATCGTCGTCGCCGTCGGCGGCGTCGGCGTCGTCGTCGTCGGTGTCGTCGTCGTCGTCGTCGGCGTCGTCGCAGTCGTTGGGGACGTCGTCGGTGCGGTCGTAATCGTTGTCGGCGGCGTCGTCGTCGTTGTCGCTGTCGTCGTCGGCGTCGCTGTCGTTGCCAAGTGCAATTTGGTACCCACCGCCACGGTGTTAAGAGGTGTTGCAAATCAAGTTGCGGGTGGGTGGGTGGGATGCTTGCGCGAGCAATGGAGGTGGTCAAGCGCGGCGCAGGGTAGTCCATTGCACCACATAGCTTGCACCACCAAAGTCGTGCCACCTAAGACAACGAAGCTTACATAGCTGCACCATAGCTGCACCACATAGCTTACACCACGAAAAGATTTCGGAACACAAACAAGTTGCGGGTGGGTGGGTGGGATGCTTGCGCGAGCAGTGGAGGTGGTCAGGCGCGGCGCAGGGTAGTCAATTCTCCTTTCTAGAAAGAGAATCCATAGACTCTCCCCCCCCGCCAAGAGTTATCGCGACCCCTTTCGGGTATGTAGATCACATATTGTTACGACCACGTGTCCATCCTAAAAATGAGATCGCAATGACCCAGGCCAACCGGGCTTCCCCCTCTTAAGGTTCCCTTGTAAAAATTACTATGCGGTGCCACTTGTAATTCTAACATGCTAACACTTTTCCGCGAATCCCTTGCAACAAATGAGACGAAGTGCACACGCGCGCGTCGTCACGCGCGCACGCCGAAATTATTCAAAAACCTTCGGTGCCGGAAGGATTTCGCAATCGAGTTTCCAAAAAACATACACAAACACATAGGGTTTCGCCTCACTGATTTGCTAAAAAAGCTTACGCGAAAGCTCCTGCGAAATCTTAAGAAAACCATAGGCTTTTCAATATTTTTACAATATGCTACCAAATGGGCTTCGCGCGCGCTCATGTCGAAATCTGTCGAACGCCCTTGCGCGTGTGCCGTCGCGAGAACCCCCTGCAAAAAACGGGACCAGATGCAGACGCGCGCGTCGTCGCGCGCGTATGCCGAAAACCTTCAAAACCCATCGGTTTCGGAAGGATTTCGAAATCGTGTGTCCAAACAACCTACAAAGACACAAGGATTCGCAACACGGATTTTCAACAAAAACGTGCGCGCGCGCTCTTGCGTCGTCGTCGTCGTTGCCGTCCTCCTTCTTCCCGCGTCGTCGGCGTCGTCGTCGCCTACGTCGTCCTCTGTCTTTCCTCGTGTTCGTCGTCGTCGTCCTCTTTGGCGTCGTGGTCGTTTCCGTCGTCGTTGACGCCGTGGTCGTCCTTCCTCCTCCTCCCTCGTCGTCGTCGTCGTCCGTCATCGGCGTCTCGTCGTCGTCCCTCCTATTTCGTCGCCATCGTCGTCGTCGTCGTCGTTGTCATCTTCCCTCCTCCCTCGTCGTTGTCGTCGTCGGCGTCGCCGTCCTTCCTCCGTCTTCGTCAGTCGCGTCGTCGCCGTCCTCCCTCCTCCCTCGTCGTTGTCGTTGTCGTCGATGTCGCCCTCGTCGTCCTTCCTCCTCC